CTAAAAAGACTGGAATTTTACAATATTCTTACTCTTCTTTGCTTCATGATTAACGACTCCAAGCATTAGTTATATGGTGTAGTTGTTACAAATTACCAACTTCTTACTACAGCTGAATGTTTCACAAAACACTTCTTATTTTGATTAATAAATGAACAGATATTGAAGCTGTGCAAGTTGCTCAAAAGAGTTCGGTTACTCTGTGTTTTACCTGTCTGAATTTTATTTGTGATTTGTAGATGATTTGGGAAATTTAGGAAATCTTATGGCGGATGGGGCTTATGAAAGGCACTCAGCTGACTAATGTCTGTGTGTGTTAAAAAGGGTATTTCACGGTTGTACCTCCAGTTTGTGCAACTTCTATGTTTGTTGAACTTGAGTCTGTGGTTGTGGGTAGCCTTAGAGATTATGAAGAATGAAAAGAATTGGAGGAGGGACAGAAGGTAGGGTCTATTGTTGCGGAGTAGAGAGGCCTGACGACTAAGTACATTAACCTTAAAGATGACTGAACCTAATACTAAAAGTTTTCAAACAATCATACAGCCTCACCTAATCTTCAAAATAAAGCTTGCAATTGCTTAATAATGAGGTGGATAGTTAATACAGGATCAGCATACCTATATTGTGGAACTTGGAACAAACAGTCAGGAACTTGACTGGCAAGACAAATAAAGCAAGCTGGCAAGACCAATTAAAGCGTGTTGCTTGTGAACTGATAGAGTCTCGCATTTCTTTTTCTCCTATCAGAAAAACTTATTATACTTCAAATAGTCCAAGAAAAGTTGAGTTGTGAGACAATTGGTGCAGAACCAATGAATGTACATGCTTCATGTGCTGAGTTCATTTCCCTAGCCTGTGGAAATGCAATCTGCTTTATAGAAACAGATATATAGATTTTCTAATTTGTTAATATTAGTTGCTTCATATTCAATTTGTTGCTGCGGCTTCATATATTGTATTCTGGCCACAAAGTAACACAAAAATTTAAAAGGAAAAATAAAGACTAAAGCTTTGATGGTAAACTGGAGTAATATATATATAATAGCTGCACAAATCTAACTACTAGGTCCTATCCTGCGGGGAATACGAGCAATTAGTTGGTGATTTGAGACAGATAGTTGAAATATTGATGCCTTCTCATGTGGAATCAGTCAAACCTAAGGTCCAGTCCTTCCTAGCAATCCCGTAAGATATTAATGGGTCTAAATCAAAAAGGTAACAATGTTAAATGAAGAGACAGCTTAGAGTATTTGCATACACCTTGTAGTTATTCTTATCCAACAATATATCAAAAGATATCAGGATATAAAAGACAAGCCCTTCACACTTTTTCCACAATGTTGTAGAGTTGAGAGTGGTATAGATGTCAAAGTGATAATTAGGATATTAATTCGGGGATCCAAAATAAGCAAATAATATTCTGGAGATTCTCTTTAATGATGAATTGGAAAACAGTTTGAGTCCATGCTGCCTTGGTACACACAAGGCGTTTCTTTTTGTTAGAACTATTTTACTTAAGAGATATATCACATAATCAAAAAGGTAAGATAGGAACCCTATTTTGAAGAGGAGTCCTACTGTGAATGCTAGGAAACTTGGTAGACGAAAGAATTGCTAACATATATGTAAAGCACATGACTCTCAAAACTTTTTATATATCAAAACACTTTTTTTTTGAGACAGCAACAATAGACCACTTACTTCTTTTTGATCAGGTAAAAGATTTTGTTAACAATAGCAGGGCCAACTTGGCCATATACATGAGGTATACCCAAAAAAAAAAAAGGGAAACGTACAAAATATGGTTCTCTCCAATAGACACCCAATTCTTTATACAAACAGGAACTTCATTGGTGCACCAAAAGAAAATAAGGGATTGGAGAGTACTCCTCAAATGAGCAAAGCTCGTCTCCACCCCTTCAAAAGCTCCCCTATTTCTCTCCCTCCAAACGACCCACATAAAAACTAGAGGAGTAACATTCCAATCCTTGTGTCTTCTTCTCCTAGCTCCACTCTTCCAGCTGAACATCAACATCTCCACGGATCTTGGCAGTACCCAAGAACACCAAACCATCTAAAGATATCCTCCCATAACCTTGTAGCGAATTTGCAATGTAACAGAATGTGGTCCGCATCCTCACCCGCCTCCATTCAAAGAAAACACTAGCTCGTAAATGCAACCTTCTGTTTCCTAAGATTCTGTGCTAGAAAAATCGTCCCTCTAGTATCTAAGCGAAGAAGCACACGTTTCTGGGCATCTTAGGACCCAGCCCGAGGCATGTGGAAAACTAACCTCTGCCCTGACCAGAAGCTTCTCATAGAAGGACTTAACTGAGAGCGAATTGTTATTCCCAACTCCAACTCCCAGTATCGGGTCTGTCAATCAGCTGGAAGACCTTTAATGATACAAGTTAAAGTAAAGTTTCAGTGGGATATTGCGTATTCAGTTGAATGTATACAAAGATATATTATTACAATATACGTTTGTATGCATTTCTTTGCTTTCCAGGACTATCTACATAATATGGTTCTTCGTTTTTAAGAGTTCAAGAAATTTGCTACTTCATCAAAAATATATTTTTTTGGGATCCGATGCGGACACAGTTGAGATTCAGACATGTTGCATATTATTCTAGTTTATGTTTTGTTTTCAGCATTTCTATAGATTATTCTAACCAACAGTTAATACACATTATTAGCAGCATATAGTTACTTATTGCTTTTATTTTTGAGAAAATAGCCAAAATCCCCCTCAACCTATTAGCCAATTCTCAACTACACACTTATTCTATTACCTCCCTAAACTTTTTAAATATGGAATAATCACCTCCCTAAAAAGTCAAAATCAGTTTTATGTCAAAGGTGTGCAGCACACGCGATAAATCACTGTACATTCATTTTTTTTTATTCTTTTTCTTTTTTTTCTTGTAAAATATAAACCTAATCAAAATATTAATTTAATCATCCCCTGTAAGATTATGTAAAGTTTCCATTTTTATCAAAGGTAGAAATTAAAATTTACAAAAAATGCTTTCAAATAGAGATTGTTTTTCCAAAATACTAATGATTTCTTTAGAGAATAATAAGAGAAAATGAGGAAAAAAATCTCTACACCAAATTAAAGAAGAAGAACAACTCCATAGCTAGTCTACATAAACTTTCAATTTGAAATCGAACCCAAAAACAAAAATCCACAAATAAGAATTCACAAATGTGAGAGTGAAAAACAAATTTGGTAGAATGGAATTAGAAAGTGAAATTTCAAATTCACCATTGTTGGTTCATTTTGGTTAGACTTCTTTTTATTATTTTATTTTTTTGCTGAAATTATGAGGGGTTTAAGAAAAAACTTGAACTCCATTTTATTTTTTTTGATAACCGAGAAATCCGTCTGTGACCCGCCCTTTGGACCAATCACAGCCTTCTAAACTCGGTGGATAATGGGCCCGCCCCTCTACCCTTCTCCACTTAACTTGAACTCCATTTTTGAGCTTCATATATGAAAGTTTCTTATGAGTTAGGTGATTGTTGTTGCTAAAACGGTTGATGTATGATTAACTAAGCATAAATCAGTAGCTACAAACTGATTTGGAGTTCCTAGAGGCAAAATTTAGAAGACCACCATTGAAGGACTTTGAGAAAACTTGAAGAAATCATGAAATGGGTATAACAATTTTTTGATATAAGAAAAGGGAAAGAATTAAAAAGAAATGAATTAATTAGATAATCTCCAATGAGAGACTGCCAAATGGCCTATTTAATTCAATTTTAGTCATTTTATGTCTTTTTGTTGAACCCTTACGCGCGCGCCTACAAGAGGTGTATTCACCTTCTTGGACAGGTCAGCGTTTAAGGGTCACAAAATATCGAAAATAAAAAGTTCAGGGGGGTAATAGGACCCCCGTGAAATATAAGTGTGTAGTTGAAAATTGGTCCATAGGTTAGGGAGGCATTTGGCTATTTTCTCTTTATTTTTAGATATACTAGACCATATGCACTATCCTTGTGGAAGTAAAAGTTGTCATATCATATTTGTTTTTATTTTACTCCATTACTCGACTAATATTCAAATTGTTTCATCTATTTCTTCAAATAATGATGTTGCAAAAGTTCTTTTTCAATTTACTCTAAATTCGAACTTTAAATAGTTTTAACCATATCAATTGGCCATCTGATAATCACCACCTCCTGTTAGCATATGTATAGTTGAACCTCTGTGAAAGAGTGAGAAGTTGCTACTAACTTTGAAATCATGTATTTTACTAGATTGGTTATTTCAAGTATACTAATGCAGACTTGAGTGTATTACGTTGTGTAAGAATATTTAAACTAACTTTTTTGGCGCTCTAAAAGGAAAATGGTTATAGTGATACAACGACCACTACCTTTACCATAATAATCAGGTTTTGAGATCTGTGACTTTGTGCCAAAATTTGCTTTACACTTCCTTGCATCCGGTATGATTGCATGAAAGCAGATGAGCCACACAATCACTTGTTAAGTGCCTCTGCTGGTAAGAGCTGTTTTAATCTGGCTTTTGACTCTGTGTACTTGAACTTCAAAAACTAATTAAAATTTAGAACACTATGATAAACGTGTTTATCTGGTAATGTTCATTTTCAAAACAGAAAACTATGATAAACTAGCATATTATCTACATGTTTAATTTTTGTTAATTTATATGGATTTTTCTTTAACGAAGTTGGTGAGAATATCTCAATCATGCCCCTCAATTGGTAACACTACTTAGTGATTGTCGAGTGCTGGTAACTGTGCTACCTCTATGTCTTTCTTTCCCTTGTAATGGACTTTGCTGATACTTTTTATTCTTCTTGTTTGTTAGCTTTCTGACTGGATTAATTACTTTTGCAGGAAGTTGTGGATACCTTACCATACGACAAAACTATTGATTTTCTGAGGTTTCTCATAGAACTCAACCAACTTACGGATATCAAGAAACTTGTAAAGCAAAGCAACGTAGAGAAAACCTTGCTTTGCAGTCTTTAATGTGGATTAAATCCTAAACCTTTGACGTCCTCATTTTTTAAAGATATAAACAGGGAGATTTCACACACCGTTCAGAAATAATGGCTTCGTTTGGATCTCTTAAGCAGGCTATCTTTGATAGACAAACAAGAAAACAGCAATACCAAGATCACATACGAGGCCTGAATGCTTATGATCGCCACAAGAAATTCCTCAATGATTATGTTGGATTTTATGGAAGAGAGAGATCCACACAAGAAAAGTTGCCTGTTAGAACAGATCAGGATACTCTTAAAGAAGGATACCGATTCATACGAACTGAGGAAGATGATATGAATCCATCTTGGGAGCAAAGGCTGGTGAAGCGCTACTATGACAAGCTATTCAAAGAATATTGTATAGCTGATATGACACACTATAAGAGTGGCAAGATTGGTCTGAGATGGAGGACCGAAAAGGAAGTGACATCTGGTAAAGGGCATTTTGTCTGTGGTAACAAACACTGCAATGAGAGAGATGGTCTAGCAAGTTACGAGGTGAATTTTTCATATGTTGAAGCAGAAGAAAACAAACAAGCCCTGGTGAAATTGGTAGCCTGTGAGAGATGTGCAGAAAAGCTTCTTTATAAAAAGAGGAAAGAGAAGGATCAATCTAGAGAAGACCTGAAAGATAAGCATCGAAGGAAAAGGGGAAGATCTGTGAGTGATGATGAACATAAGGATGATAATTACGAACGAAGGAAAATGGGAAGATCTGTGAGTGATGATGAAAATAAGGATGATAATTACAAACGAAGGAAAAATGAAAGATCTGTAAGTGATGATGATACTGAGGATGATAATTACGAACGAAGGAAAGGAAGGAGTAGAGGGTCAAAGGCTCCAACTTCATCTGATAATCCGGATAATGAGAATATGGATGAGTATCTGGAGGGAATGTTTCCTTGACAGGAGGCTACTGATGTTTTTGTAGAGATTTTGAAGTTTTCATTAAATTTGTTTAGATTGCAACTAGGTATTTTTGTTTGGACAATGGAGAGGAAATTTGGTTGGAAAAGCTGGAGTAAGGTCGTATTTTTGAAAGGCTAGACTGGTTAAGAAATACATGAAGGAACCTGGAAACGCTGGAAGTGGGGAGCTCAAGTTTTCTATTGGGTTGTCTGATCATCCATGTAAAATCAAGAAGTGTAGCAAGTGATGTTTCTACTTAGTTTTCAACAGTTTTTTTGCTAATAAGTAGCTCCTCGGAATGTAAATATATGATCCATGTACACTTATGTTGGTTATGAAGTTCACTCCTTTGACCTAATGGATGTCTCATCTTCAATATTGTAGATCAATTCAACGCACAAGTTCATTGAAAACGTAAGCCTGTATTGTTTGTGTAATTTTAGTAGGCAGTGAAATTCATGATAGTTTGCTGCTTGTCAAGTACCCGCTGGGCTTCATTGGTTATCAAAAAGGATGAAAATGGACTTCACCTTTGGTATTTGTGAAAATAGTTATTCAGTTAAATATGCACTGCTATTTTAATGGACTGCTATTTCAATCATGTGTTTCAACTCTTGAGTAACTGTATTTAAGCCAAAAGTAGCAGTCATAAATTGCTCAATTCCAAGTACCATGTACAAAGAGACTAATTAGGGGGAGAGTTGAATTGATTAACTTTCTTTTGTTGAGAATGTTAAGAATAAACAGATACACCCAAAAAAGAAGGAAATAAAGAGCTAAATGTAAATAAGAAAACAGACATCTCCATAATGAGACCCTCCATCTGTACAAGTGTGACAATTTATACTCTTAATTTTGACTTGATCAACTTCCCCCTCATGGAAAGCCTCATCTCAATCAAACTCCTGTCTCTGCTGAATGGAGACACCTATTTTCTTCAATCATCTACACCAATAAAGTCACTTGGAACAATCTCTTCTCATTGTATATGTACATTTCGCATGCTAATCAGCTCATTGCCTGCTCCAGCGTCAATAAAATAAGACTGAAACAGCAGCACTAATGCAACACATGGATCTTGTGTTGTCATCTTAACTACCTGATACTTTGAGAATTATTCATGTATGACGATTCCTTTCGACATAAACAGTCTGGTAGAGGATTTACATAGAATGCCTCCTCTGAACGAAACCTATCCGTCCCCTTTGTACCTGAAATTGGCCCTTTCCTCTTTCTTGGCGATCCTTGCCTGCACAATCAAAAATAATAATTAAAAAAAAAATAGATCAGATACCATTGTATAGTTTCTTGGCAAAAGTTCTCATATCTTCAATCTAATGACCATAAGAAAAATGAGTTTATGCAATGCAGATGGAACAACATACTTGCACCGAGATCCAACAGGCACTCTAATTGTCACAAGATTTCAAAGATCTACTGAAGAAGTAGTAAAGAGCAAACAATACTCAAAATTGTAATTTCAGTTTTCATCTCTACAAATGGAAACGAAAAAGATAACACTCATTACTGGCCAGGGCAAGGAAAAAACTTCTACATCCAGTTGCAAGCCTTTCCCAAACACACAACAAAGAATACATCATCAGACTCCGGAAAGATAGGACAAGAATAATTGCAAGCAGATAACTGTTAGAATTCATATAGAAATATAACCACTACATCGGCAGGACCATCATCAGCACCTTGATTATATTTCACAAACAGAAAAATATCTCTACATTTGACATACCGCCTCCTGTGGGTTTCAATAATGCGATTGGACAGATTTTTTCCTTCTTTCATCGTACCCTGGTCAATTTTGTCAAAAAGCCGGACAAGAGTTCTCCTGGTGATTACAATGAAAGTATTAGCAGGAGATAGTTATAATCCTCCAAGCAGACTAAATACTAAGTGGGAACTAAAAGATACTGATATAGCATGTGTAGAAAGGAGGTCTTGCCTATCAGGAGATATTGTTTTCCTATGCCCCAGAAATCGACGATGCCCCTCAACTGCTCTTGCCATATTTCCCGAGTACGTTGGAATGAATATGTCACTCTCAACAGACACGATATAGTCTAGGGCAGCCAATTGAGATGCATGATTGACAAATGGCTCAAGCTCCTCAATAGAAGCCAACTTTTCCTGCAAGAAAGATGCAAATCACTCTTTAAGTAAGCGGAGCCTATCACATAGATCAGAAGTACTTTGTTTTGAGATTATATGGCTTCCATGGAAATCTGCTACATACATAGGGGATCGAGAACAGAAGGAACACGCCTTGGCAGATTGAAATCACGATATCGATATTCAATTAAACTTCATAAGCGAAAAAAGGTAAATAAACAATTGGTTCATGCCAATATTGATGCTGCAGGTTCAGCACCTGAACAGACTAACCAAATAAGTTCTCTTTGGGATCTCAAGAAGCATCAAACAAGAAGATGGACTCCCTGACTGAAAAACAATGAATTTAATTTGGTCCGGATAGCTGAAGTTTTTTAGAGACTTCGCTCATCTCAATGGGGACACCACAATTGCCATTTCAAATATTGACAGAGCTTGAAATGGATAACCAAGTGACCCGATTTCTTTATGACAGATTACGGTTAAAATTTTACGAATCTTTCAAAAGATCCAAAACAAATTCTATTATCTTTTCCCTGTTCTGTTCTATTCACTTGCTGATGAGCACAAACTGTTTTTGCATAACACAAAAACAAAGATCCACACATACTGCTATAAAGAATGACAATATCAATATTTAGCAAAATTGTTGGATGCTTCTATTCTAATTCACTCTAAGGAAATGTTCAGATTATTATGCTGACTGGACCAACTTAAGTTGTACTAGCTATGTTTTTCAAATGCATATACAGACATTGAGGCCAAGAATTGAGCACATCGAGTTTTTGAATTAGTTTCATGTGATCCCCCCACTAGTCTACGTGGAACTATTTTTATCTTTTATTTTAGTTTAATTTGAATGTAAAATAACTCTAGAGTTGTGTACTAAATGGACTTGACTCAATGTACTTACAGTTAAGTCTTGGTTATTGTTTTCATCATCATGTTTAAGTTGTTGAGACACTATTGCTTGTTTAAACATATTAAGTATTGCCTTGAGATTCATGAACGAGTCCATCAGGTTCTGGGTCATGTGCCCAATTTTGCGTGTTTCTTTTTTTTTTTTGGATCAATTCGGGTGGTGATATGATGTGTTCGATAGCACCCACAATAAAATTATTTCATCGTGTTGAAACTATCTACAGGCTCATTTCAAATTCTTCAATTTTTTACCACTTATCATAACTTTTGAGTTCATGGGCATGACATTCATAAAATCCACAATCATGTGAGATATCTAACTAACAAAAATCATCCAAGACATTTTAAGCAACAATGCAAGGAAGGTTTGCATACCTTATTCATTAATAAGGGGTAGCGCAACAACAGATCAGACATATGGGAATCACCCCCATATATCTCTCCAGCAGCAATATATATAGGAGTGTTTGATGGAAATCCAAGACCGGAAAGGAATAGTCCAACTTCTCTTGGAGTTAATGGACAATAGCCTTTACTTCTCTGTTCTACAGGATCAATTTCTTTCACCTTCCACCATGTAGTGTTTTCCCTACAAATGATCAAGATAATGAAATGACCATCATCGGATTACAAATTCAAACAATCTAGTCAATGGCATGCTACTAATTCAAATAAAAGGAGAGAACATTTCTAAAAGCTTGGTGGATGTGACAGGGGAAGGGCCCCAATTCAGGCCAATCACTACACATAGAAACAAACAAGCACCAACATCATAGATTTCTTTTTAGAAGAAATGTACCAATCAGTATTGCATCCAGAGATCCTTTTCTTTGTGAATGTACCTTTTTCTTTTAACTAACTTATTGAAATTGGTGATTTTAAAGTTTGTATACTATACAGTTGAACCCCACAGGAACCAAAATAGGAGGCCAGTGAGCTAGGCATCTCACACGTGTCTAATAACCAAGCAAAATGAAAGCATATGGTTGATGTTCAACCTGTTAAAAACTGTTCTTGCTTCTTAGCAGACAAACTTTTGTTTGCAGAGGTCAGATTTTACCCAACAATTAATCACAAGCACATGCTCTGTCTATCAAATAACTATACGTCATAACAATCTACCTAATTGCCTTCAGTTCCTCGGCTTCTTCTGGGGATAGATCATGCGTGCATCCACTAAAAGCAAGCATGTCCTTTTCAAATCGCAAATGTAAAGCAATGTACGGGCCATATGATCTCATCCGATCAACCAACATCTGTAAATAGAAGTTGAATCAATGAAATAGATCAGGCAAAGAAACACTTGAACATGTTTTTGAACTAAGCATCAATAAGTGGTGACCTTTCCCATTGCTTCAATCTTGGGAGCAAATCGAAGGGCTTCATAACAAGCTCGACACCGCAGCTTCTGAATATCAGGAGGCAGGTTATTATTCGCCAATCTTGAATCAGACTTGGCGGCTCGAATGATCTAAAGAGATTAGACTGCATCCATTAGTTACAAATGAACATTATTGCTTGCTTGGTACACAGATTAGTTTTATGTACCTGGTATTCATCCCACAGTCGTGCAATCTCTTCCTCATAGTAATCCACACCAGACCAACTCCTAAAATGTTTAACTGCTTTAGTTGCAGATGCCAGTTCCTTCGGTAGCTTTTTGACAACATTTACATCGTTTTTCAAAGAATTAATAAAATAGTCTTCATCAAAGACATCGGAGAAGTTGCTGCAATTCAGGCATAGAAGATTAAATTTTCCCAGTTTATGCAGCAAGTATAATACACTCAATCCTTAAGGATGAAAAGGATGTTGATCCCCTTGCAACTAACAGTTCAAAATGAGCATGAAACCACAAAAAGAAATTGCTAACTAAGGACATTACGCACCTAGAGTCCTGCCAAAATGAGCGCTTATCAAGCTCAGGGATCACAAGGGTAGCATTTATGATACGAGCAACAGCAACCATGTCACATATCTGCAACATAACAACCTTTTCTTTCAGCAGAAAGCCACGAAACAATGACAATTAAATGTTTTATGCATACATTGTGTGAACTTTACACAGACGACATAATTTTCATGAATCCACAAATCCACAAATCCACAAAAAAAATATTCATTAACGACCAATCACCTTATAAAGAAACGAATTAACATGTATACTGGTTTAGGGGAGATGAATTGTCTTCTAGAAGATTTGAAATGTAAACCAAATGCTAGAAATAAGGGACACAAGACATATCCATTGAAGAAACTCATACTGAGTTAGAGTATGAGTAATTAAAGATGCATATTTGACATAACAGACTTCCACTCATCCTCCTCCCACCAAAACACAACTTCATTT